AGATTGGTTTGGTTTATTTTTATTTAATGCCGACAAAAATCTTTATTACTGGTAATATTTTGTTTTGTCAAAAATCTGATTCTGGTAATATACTTCCTTCAAAATTGCATTACCTTTTAATATCTTTTTTAAAAAGAAAGTATTGCTGGTAATAGTTAACTATTTGCCCTTAGATGAGATCCCTAGGTCAGGGTAGACCTGGGAACACCAGCAATTAAGAGGTGGTTCCAAGCCCCTCAAAACCTTCCAATCAGAGGCCTTGCTGCTGGACGTAGTTTAACGTTTTACCCATGACGCGGATGTAGTTTAACGTCTTACCCAAGACTAGAGAATCTGGCGTTATGAAAAAAGAAACAGATTCTTCTGGCAAAACAATATCTTCAAAGCAGATGCCATGAGACTATATCGAGAACTTGGAAAAAAATAAAATAGAGATAAATAACCCACCTAATATCGAGGAAGTCGAGGAGTTCTGGTGTAAGATGTTGAAAACCTTCAAAATGCACAATGAAAGAGCTACATTGATCAAGCAAAAACAGGAACAAAGCAGAAATATAGAGTGCTAAAAATAGACGCATATCAGTATTACTGACACAACCGCTGTCATCTGCAAAACCAAAAAAATGGAAAGCACCAGGTATAGACTATCTAACACCCACCAGGACCTCGCCCGGACGTACAATGATATAATCATAAACCCAGAAAGATGCCCCAAATGGCTCACGTGGGGAGTAACATACCTACTCGCCAAAACAGATGCAGATCCCGGAGTTCTATAGACCCATCACCTGCCTACGAACAATGTACAAGATCCTCATTTCTGTCAGAAACAAGAGGACATACAGCTTTCTTAAGAAATACAATTTACACCCAGCAGAACAGAAGGGATGTAAAAGTAGAAAATACGAGTGTAGGGACCAATTAGTTATGAATAACACAATACTAGAAGAGGTGAAAATAAAGAAAAGAAATTTATCGACAGGGTGGATTGACTACAGAAAGGCGTTCGATACTGTTCCACACTCATGGATAAGGGAGAGCCTAAAAATATACAGAGTATGCCTTGCAACGCTCAAATTCCTAACAGAAAGACTGAAAACTGGAAGAGTACACTAAATCTAAACAACACGAACGAGTCATTAAAATCGAGACTAATCAATATTAAAAGCGGCATCTTCCAAGGAGATTCATCTTCACCATTACTCTTCTGCTTTGCATTAGCGCCTCTCATCTGCATACTGAACAACTGTAGCCATGGATAGAAGACACAGAATGACAAACGGAATCAACTATTTTATACTGATGATCTTAAAACTTTTGCCAAAGATGGCAACCGGCAGAAAATCCTACTTATCGTTGTCAAAACATTCAACGAAGACATTAAGATGGAGTTTGGTTTCGACAAATGTGCCAAATCCATCTTCAAAGACGGTAAACTAACGACAACTACGGATTTAGATCTTGATATCAACAACAAGATTAAGGAACTAGACCAAGATGGTACATAAAAATACTTAGGAATTAATGAAGGAGACGGAATACAACATTCAATTATGAATAAAAAGATCCTAAAAGATTATTATAGAAGAGTGTGTCGGATAGTAGAACGTGAACTAATTGGGACCAATAAGTTGAAGGCTATCAACAACTTAGCTATACATACAGCATCAACATTATTAAATAAAAGTTGAATGACTTTAAGAGATTGGGCGCCAAAACCAGAAAAATGCTTACTCGAATGAGGATACCTCATCCGAAATCAAATGTCGATAGGCTGTATGTACCAAGAGCTTTAGGAGATCGAGATATAATCAAAATTAAATTAACTCTAAAAACTACAACAATCAGATTTTATGTCTACCTCACAAAAACCAATGATCCTCTTGTACAAATTTTAAAACACCAAATCCACTCCATCAACAAAGTATTTGCATTCTTCAAGAAACAACTTAATATAACTGAAACCCTATAAACACAAAACGAAGCGAACACCATCTATGGCAAACGAGTAAAGCAGAAAGAATACGACTTGGCCAAATTAAATTACAACAAAACTGGTATGACAAAACGTTTCATGGCAAATACATAAAAGGAACGAAAGAATCAGATGTGGACTAACAGAAAACACATCAGTGGCTCGAGAGAGAGAAGGCCTAATTATTGCAGCTCAGGACCAAAGCCTCGCAACCAAATCCTATCACTTTCACATAATCAAGGATGGAACTAACCCGAAATGCAGTATTTGCAGTAAATATGCGTAAACTGTCGACCATATTATCTCAGGACATACGGAACTGGCAAAAAATAAATATACCCATAGACATAACAAGATAGCGATATATGTGCACTGGAAGATGTTCAAGAAGCACAAAATCGAAACCATTGAGAGATGGTATGGGCACCAGCCAGACATAGTTACCAAAAATAACGATGTATCTATCCTCTAGGACACCCTAATTCAAACTGACATGGAAATAAAAACCAACAGACCTGATATCATAAAAGACAAGAAATTCAGGAAGAGTATGCTTATTGGCAGAGCAGTACCATCTGAGAGAAACACCATGGAAATTATCGAGAAATTGTCCAAATACAAGGACCTAGTAATCGAGATTAACAGGATGTGGGGATTGAAGACTGAGATTGTACCAATAGTAATCGAAGCTCTGGGATTCGTGAGGAAAGGAATGGATAATTTTACTAATAGTGTCTCAGGTAACATCAACATACAAGTTGCCCAGAAAAATGCCCTACGGCGATCATCACATAAACTAAGAAAAGTGCTATCAATTGAATTAAAATTTCCTATAGGACCTAAGGAACATAGTTTGGACCCGGCTCTTACAGGATACAATAATAATAATAATAATAATAATAATAATAATAATAATAATATTATTATTATTATTATTATTATTATTATTATTATCTATAATCACTCCCTCGTTATTGATCAAGTATTAAGAATTAGCATACGACCTCAAACTTCATCAGAAATTACTTTATTTCTTTCGAATTTCGAGATGTTTACATGATTTAAGAAATAAGGACGAGGGAAAACGAGTTATAAAACAATATTAGGTTGTCAAATTAAGATGGCGTAAAGGATCTTTAAGGTACAAATAATCAAAATAGGTTATGCAAAAAGAAAAGATCATAGCTGTGTAGCCATTTTTCGGAGAAAAACAACATGGCTACATGAATAAAAATGGAATTATTGTATAGGGTATGTTTTTCGAACCTTATTGTTAATGTAGATGTCTCAGAAAAGCCTGTAAAGATAGGAGGCTTTTTCTTTCCTCCTGATTCTGTTTGCATTCTACTCATGATGATCTGGGCGATGCAATAAAAAAATCAATCGTCAAAAGAAATATTAGAAAATACTTCCCTTAAGAAATTCTAATAATATTAAAAATTAATTATAGATTGTGTTCCGTTTAATTAGCGAATATGTTGAGGATATAGTGGTTAAAGTAATGCGTTTGAAAGAGAGCATCCCAAGGTAAAAGGATACTTGTTTAGATTTCGTCTGAAGTTAATGGTCTATTTTCGAATTTGCGTTGTTTGCTTCAGCAATCCAAGAGTGAAAATGATGCCATGCCATAAAAGAATGGTAACTAGTGATGATGATTACGGGAAGAATAGAATTCAGGTTACAAGTAACAGGAAAATTTCGTTAGAATCAAAGAAAAGGTTACCGAACAGTTATGTAATACAAGTCCTCTTATATGGAAATCTCCTCGAAGACAAAGAAGAGGCTTGAAGCAACAGAAATGTGATTCAACAGAAAGGTACTGAAAATATCACGGACCGAACACGTGAGCAACGACGAAGTTTTCGAGAAAATGGAAGCAAAAACGACACATACTTGAAATCCGGAAGAGACAATTGAAATTTTTAGGGTGCATAATGAAGAAATAGGGCTTGGAAAATTTGACACCCGCAAGACAGACTGAAGGCAAGAGGGCCAAGAAAAAACAAGGTATAACATAGCTAGTGAGCTTGAATAATTGGATGGCGTAACAAGATTTAGGAGAGAAAACAAAAAGTTAAAATTTATTAAGAATTACAAAGGGCAGGAAATTGTGGAAAGCGATAAATGTTAACGTCATGGAGAGACACGGCACATGGAAGAAGAAGAAGAAGAAGAAGAAGAAGAAGAAGAAGAAGAAGAAGAAGAAGAAGAAGAAGAAGAAGAAGAAGAAACAAGTTATGGATACTTCAGCATTTTTAGGATTTTAGTTTATTTTTCCCATGTTTTCTCCGTGATTGTTTTCCTCTTTCTATATTTGCTTAGCCAAGGGAAATAAATCGGTGTGTATTCAACTTTATTTCTAACTGGGCCAAGAAGAAGAAGAAGAAAAAAATAAAGTGAAAAAAGAAGAAGAAGAAAAAGAAGAAGGAAAAGAAAAGAAGAAGAAGAAGAAGAAGAAGAAACAGAATAAACAAGGAGAAGAAGAAGAAAGAAAGAAAGGAAAAAGAAGAAGAAGAAAGTCAATAAAGAAGACAAAGAAGAAGAAAAAATAAGGAGGAGGAAGAAGAAGAAGAAGAAGAAGGGAAAAGAAAAGATAGAAAATGAAGAAAGAGAATAAAAAAGAAGAATAAAAAAGAATGAGGAAGAAGAAGAAAAAGAAGAAGGAAGAAGAGAAAGAATAAAGAAGAAAAGATAGAAGAAGAAAGAGAATAAAAAAGAAGGAGGAAGAAGAAGAGACAGAATAAAGAGGAAGAAGAAGAAGAAATAAGGAGGAAGAAGAAGAAGGAAGAAGAAAAGATAGAAGAAGAAAGAGAATAAAAAAGAAGAAGAAAGAAGCAGGAGGAGGAAGAAGAAGGAAGAAGAAAGATAGAAGAAGAAGAAAGAGAATAAAAAGAAGAAAAGAAGGAGGAAGAAGAAGAAAAAAAAAGAAGAAGAAGAAGAAGAAGAAGAAGAAGAAGAAGAAAGCAATTGATAGAAACTGTCTCTAACAGAATAGGAAGTCGTTTCACTGTATCGGTTTCACTAG